ACTGGAGACTTGCAGGCTGATTGCTCAGAGTAAAGGGGAAGGTAATACATTTTAAGGTGTATCAAATACTGTGTTTGCGCAGCAGATGTGACGGCGCAGGTCGATAGCCATGCATGGGAGGTTCAATAGACGAATGAACGGGGATTTTGCGGTATTACAATAGAACTGAAAGGGTTCTACAACCGATATTCAGAACACAGGGTGGTTTCCCTATAAACCTCAGGGACCTCTTCACAGACCCTTTGGGGTTCTTATCTAGGTGCTAAGAACGCTCTTATTATAAACCCTAAACCTCATAAGAGTCTTTGGAAGAATCGTGTGGATTCTTTTGATGAGAATGCAAAGCCGTCTACGTGAAGAACCATGGGGGTTCTGAAAAACGGTGGCATAACATTTTACCCCACAGGGGTCTAAATACCCCTGTACGTTCTTAACGTTCTTCCAAAGTGTTTTCAGTGAACTTTAGCTATTGACATCTTCTTTTCGATCACTCCGCATTAAACAATCGCCAGTCAAAGCCAACCGTTGAGATTGGTAAAATCCTACATTACTTTAGCGGTGGGCTGTACCTATCCCCGGTTATTTAAAAGAAGTTTTTGTGGGGGGATATCACGGCTATAGGTACTCAGTCGCCCTATTCACGACTTTCAAAGAATGCTCTGATAACTAACTACCGCACAGACCTACTGCATTAGTGAATCTGACAAAAGGTCTGTGAAATTACATCCCCCTCACCACACCCCTAAAAACTCATCCAGTGTCCAAAACCACTTTTATCGACTCGCCAAAAAAAAAAAAAAAAACACACACACACACACAAAGCATGGGGCATGTCAGCTCTCAGTTCATTTATCATTGTCTTTACCATGGTTCAATTGCATTGCGCGATTCAAAGCACGTGAGTGCCTATATAGTATATATGTAGAAAATAATACCTACAGCAAAACATCCAAAATTACAAAGGCTACAATGCTTAAAAAGTAGGTTCATCAAGGAAGCCCATTTTAGCTTGAGTGGTGTTGCCAACCATGCGATTCGAACGCGGGCTATTCACAACGTCTGCAAAGGCACGTTAACGACTGACAAGCCGCCACCGCTGCCACTTATTCATAGATGGTTGATATCGCAGCTTGGGCCACAACGCGTCGGCGCCAGCGCACGCAGCTGTTGGCACTCGGCAGCCGGTGTTGCGACTTAACCCTATTAGTGGCAGGGGGGTTGTTTTTATCCACCCCTCAGGTTTTTCGGGAATATCTCCGAAACCGCTGAAGCTACGATGCTGAAATTTTCTGACTTTTCCTAAAATTAAATTGGGCACATTCCCTGAAAATTTCAAGTTCATAACTTTACCAGGGGCGGCTCCAGAGCACTGGGAATTCGGGGGTCCTATTCGTGAAGCGAGTCATTTGGGCAAAGATCACGATGCTGCACCAGTTTTACGAACAGTGAATGAAAGGTATCATGTGATGACATATACAGTTATTGTGCATCCTCTTTTGACACGTTTTTGCTATAATAGGCGGATCCAGGCGTCCAAAAAGGGGGGTTATGTTTTACCTCCCAACATAGGTGCCCTGACACCGCCTATGCATGACCAATACAATTGTAGTCGTTCTCTCATAAGAAAATGGTAACATAACAAGACCATTACCACCCTTTTTAGAAACAGTACCAACGAAAACCTTATTTACTATACTTTTTGTGTACCCCCAATCTCAATGATCTGTATCCGCCTATGATTTTTGAAAATGCATATTTTTAGGATCCATGTGAATTCCTGGTTCATTCTCTATCGATCGGCAAAAGTTGCGTTAAGATTGGTTCAGAAACCTGGCCGTGATAAACAGTCTAAAATGTATCTGCAATTTGCCCGTTTTTACCCCCCTCTACCCCCCCTATTGACATTTTTTAATTTTTATTTTTTAGAAATGTAGATCACGTTGAGCGAAATCGAATGCCGTTTGAATTTTGAAAATCGGCCCGTTAGATCTCGAGATATCAAGGGGGGTCGTAAACAGCCCCCCCCCTGCCACTAATAGGGGCAGCCAGGAGCCTGCCACTAATAGGGTTAACGGCCGGCCGGCCCCATGAAGGAGAAGCTCTTGTTGAAGCTTTGTGATCGCCTTGGATGTCATCTTTCTTGGCAGATCCATCCGTTCAGATGGTACGGTGCAGTCTGGATAAATGACGAAGTCCAACGCCGCTAACCCCGCGACCGCCACCCCAGAACGTGGCCGCAGACCGAACGGGCGTGAAGGCCGTCCGCAAGGGCCACCCCGCCATCCGGTAGGTGGCTGAGCAGCCGGGCGCAGCGGCGGCCGCGCTGAGATGAAGTCCCAAACCGCCATGTCGCCATCACCGCCATCACCATTGCTGCAGCTGTTCCCAACCGCCTCCATTGCCGCCGTTGTCAGGTGTTGCCAGCAGCCGCGCCGCGGGATGGCAGAAGCTCCAGAGTAGCCTCCAGCGCCCCTCTCCGCACGTGTGCAGGTGCTCTGCGGCCGCCGGGTCCGACGTCCAGGCAGAACATTATATTTCCATGCTGCTCCGACGGTGGGCTGGTCTTGTTTGGGCGTTCCTCCACTGTGACGTCGGTCACGCCTGCCCCGGCCAGGGCGCAGAGGCCGACGTCTCACCATCCGGTTGCGGTCCTCAGGCGGGTCGCAACGTGCACCTCTACCGCAGCGTGGAGCGCGCTCCCGCTGGGCAGCGATACAGTCAAACGTAACATGCGGGCGGCCAGCGCTGCGCCGGACAGCGGACCCATGCCGGGGGTATGCCGGTCTCGGCCATTAGCGGGGTCGTCTGGGCCGAGGCTGTACATACAGCTGGTGACCGCGTGAGCCGCCAATCGAAGCTCACGGCTTATAAGCTCGACGCGGGCATCACACGCCGTCCCGATGGGAGCTCCACGACGCCGCCGCGAACTCAAGCAGCGCGGCTCGCAGCGCGAAGAGCGGCACGGACGGCCGGGGCGCAAACGGCGTGCGGGAGTCGCAGGCGACGGAAGACGTTCTGCGGACAGAAAGGGTTGGGCATAAGCTGGTCGGCAGGACACTCTTGAGCCGAGCCTTTGATGTAATTACAGATGATCCAGAAGCATGCACAAAAATTCATGACACACTATTCTCATTTATGTATTTGCTACATATGATATGATATACCAGCTCATGATCAGTGACGCATTCTGGGCAATATGTTCTAAAGTGAAGTAACTGAAGTTACAATTGACAGCTTAAAAAAACACACGCACACACATTCGATAGCTTATGAGAATAACATGCCTTGTCTGCTTAATGCAGGAAAATATTTTTTCACTTTTTAGAAACAGCAAAACAGTTGTCAACAAGCCATGTCAACTAAACAATTTTTATGGAAACTGCTCTAGCTAGCTTAAAGTTCCACAACGTTTCCGGAGCACTGTACCCAAACTCAGTTCATGTTACAAGAAAAACAGTAATAATGCCTCCTAATTTTGAATGAAATATAGGTATAAGTAATTTGATTTGGAAAGCAACAAAGTTCCGCACATCATGTTAGCAAAATCACTATTTTCTTCAGCCACGAGGTTTTACACAAAACTATAGTAAACTTTATGATCTAGTTTACACAAAGCCAAAGCCTCGATTTTAACAAATGTAGATTAAATTTTAACAATTTTAACAAATGTATCGAGGAGAAAATAAAAAGTGTAGATTTGTAAAGCCGGGATATTTCACGGATTAGGCACTTAAAGAAATATCTTCACATTTCTTTGAGCCACCAGCCTTCACCCAAGTTTTACACGAATGTAGTGAACCAGACAATGTGGCAACTCAAAATTGTGATAGTTCGAGATAATTATGACGGTAAAAGAAAGAGCAACACAAGGTTCCTTACCCTCGCTTTTTTCACATGGGTTCAGATGAGGCTTCAACTGTTGCCGACCTGAGGAGCTATAGGGACTTGAGCTTTCCAAAACTCAATTTCTAAGGGTACTGAGCAGTGTTTGGGTTTCACACGTATGCGATCGTAAGTTCTATTAAGTTGACAAAGCAAGCAAAGCAAAGCATGATGCCCCGCGCGTCCGCCCGCGACCACGTCCCGCGTCCGACTCCCGACCGCTGCGTGACCCGAGGCCCCCGGCGGTCACGTGACCTACCGGCCGGGACTGCAAACGGCCTTCAACACCATTCTTGTATGACGTCATATCCTACTGAGGTGCTGATTGGTCGGAATTAGATACCTGAAGGTAATTATCCGCCGTAGCTATTTTTGTTTCATTGTTTTGCGTGTTTTTCTTATATGTAATGTAATTAAAAAATTTGCCATATTTTAATCACCATTAAAACATAACCGAATAGGTATAAAAGAGAACTCGATATATACTTTCCTTGTTTTTAAGAATTCCGGAATTAGATACCCGAGGGAGCAAAGAGGGAGCAAGTTGCCACGCTGATTTGATACCTCATAGTCGAAAGGTGGGCGACTAGAACCGATAATTGCTGTGTTTGTAAATAAATAAGTGATTTGAGGGCAAAGAATGCCCGGATTTAAACTTCTAAAATTATTTTGAACATAAAATATTTCAGTTTGAGGGATGTTAAGGCCTCAAAGAGTAGGTACTTTTCAGGTATCAAATAGGTTCCTCTGCGAAAGTTCCGTCGTGAAAACGGCTACTATAAGTCAAAAATAGGTACACATCTGAATCTGGTCCGTAAGCCTGATATTATTACAGGCGGATTTAGAGCCCCTGATTTCGGAGACCAATGCTCGTCAAAATCCGAGACATTAGGGTGTCAAATTGAAAAAAAATGGTACGATTTATCGTGGGATGCCCCAGTACGCAAAGCACGGGCATATGGCACGATCCTCTGCCGGTCGTGTCAGTGCGTTATAGCTACATGTTCGAGCCATCTGCCCACCGTACCGTAACGGTCGGCCCCACCGAGCCGGTCCAGCCCAGTCGGCACGGACGCGGCGGCGTCAGCGGCGGTCGACCGACCACTGCGTGACCCACCGAGTACCGCCTGCCACGGCCGGCGGCGGGCGCGGGCCGCCGAGCCGAGCCGGCCTAATTTTAGCCCGCGGCAGCTGGCGGGCGGCGCTGGCGGAGCGCACGGCAGTACACACAGCACGGTGGAAGTCTGGAGAAGGTCGCCGCTGCTCCCTCCCTGTCTGGGTGAAGGTCACCTGCCTCTGCTGCTGGGTGAGCGCGCCGGCTCAGCGTGCACAGGTGAGAGCGCACGCCGCACGCCGCATAACACAGCTAGCCGTGCACGTGCATGCGGTGTTGCAGGGTGCAGAATGCAGATGTGACTGCCGTAGGCAGTGTCTTATATATACCTACTGGTTAGTGTTTATAACTAGACTCGAGTGTCCGATAAGCAGAGTTTGTTGTGCAACACCACTGACCTATACTGCCCTCATCCAGTTCACCGGCATGAATTCGAATCAAACATTCAACAGTTTATACAAGTAAATGGCAGTACCAGACACAGTCCCCCGGTCATATTTCAGGATTTTCTCACTATAGGTTTGCAATCCTAAAAAGCTCCGTACTTTTACGACCTTACCTTTGGCTCCATAACGTGCATATTGCATAATGATATACCGATGCTGCCACTAATGCGTATCCGAGTCAGCACAAACCGGTGTCTGGGAACGTACATGATAGTTACGCGAATAGACTGCAATGCGTAAAGAAACATTTTATTTTCATTATTACGAAAGCCGTTTCATCAGCTGAGCCTCAGCCATTGTCATGTCTCATTGACATTTATAAGATTGGGCTCAGGTGCCAGCCATGAGCAGGACACTGCGGCTTGCCGTTTGCGAACGTCTACACAGCTTGTTGATGTCGTCCTCGTCCTGTCGGACACTGCAGTGGTCGGTGGTAGGCAGGCGGCATAGATGAGCACACAGTGCAGTTGGGTGAACCCTCGCCTCTAGTGGCTCCAGCCCGGCACGCTATCACGCCGGTCCGATGCGGTGATATAGTTTTTACTGAGAGACCATCACGATTGTTTCGGGCCGCAACCACTGTTGTCCGACGTCCGGACGGTCCGCACGTACACACACACACACCTTCGGGACCCGGAGCGATGGTAGGGGTGCTCGATGGAATGGTGGTGGGGCACGTCGCGTTGTCGCGCGACGCTGATATTCAGGGGTCGCCGTTAGTGTTTATCTGAACGTTTAGCCCCCACCCGTATTGGTCTTTTCACAGCGTCTAACGTAGGTACAGGTAATCCATAGAATCCCCCACTCCAGCCGTTTGGCCCCCGATCGAGCTAGGGTTTCGTAGAAAAACGAGCATGCTGCCCGTGACGAGAGTAAGCCGATGATGATCAATTTTAAGTTTCCAAGTCCTAAGTTATTGATTGACCTTCCAGGTCAGGTCAATGACCCAAAAGTCGTGAAAATCGGGACTTCCTAGAACTGTGCAGATTGAAGATCTGATGTTTTTTTCTGGGTCCTGATAATGAGTTCCAAGTTTTGATCAAAGATGATGTAGGAACTCATGCTTTTGGGGGAGATCGAGACAGGTCAGGTCAGGCCAACCAATAGGCGTCACGTGCCGGCTATCCATAGGCTCTGTGTCAGCCAACACTGACAGCTTCGTAATATGCTTCATAGGCACCAAAACTTCTTCCCAAAAGGGCAAATGGATGCTTATTACAAAATTAACTCCAAACCCTACCCTAGAAACATGCAAAATTCGAAGAGGGTAACCGAGGGTTCTAAGGTCTGTGACCTTGACCTGACCTTCACGTGACCTTGATACCCACCATAATTCGTGGAACAAATATAATTTCACATGTTGGAACGTTTACAACCACAAAAGACTGGAAACGCACAGACAATATGTGCTGGCAATTGACATACACCAAATCACTATTCCAACCCGATTTGGCATCCAGGAACAGGTCTCAGATGAAAGATCATTTGAGGCAGGGTCATGAAATTTTCAGGGTGGTTGTAAAATTGATGAAATTCAGGGAATTAAAAGTTTCGTCGCGAGCGGCCTCTTTTTGCGCGAGTTACTCACGAAAAACTGAGTTGGATGGGCACATTGAACCCCCGCCTTTATATAGGTAAGTGCCAGGTTTAACAGCATGTGCCGAAAAGGAAGATCATGGAGTATTGCTACGTTTTGTACATTCCTTCATTCATAATTGAGTTCATTCATGATGGACCTATGGGAGGGGGGGGGGGGACGTCGAAACACCGCTCTCTCCACATTGCGGGTGAAATATTTGCATAAGAACAGTCTTTCCACTACGACCCTTGGTATATACAGGGTGTTGCAGATAAATTGGGACTAAGTTCATGACCTTACAAAAAATGTGCTATGCGGAGGAACATCATGGAAATTTGACACAATATAATTTCAACAATTGTTTTTCATTTGATATTGAAATTTTAATCCTAACATATCGCGCAGTCATGGAGCAGCGTCGGGGGGAAACGATTGGTGAGTTACTTCGCGCCGGACAGAGCGCGAAGGACATAATAAGTTTAACTGGGTACCCAAAGTCTACCGTGTACCGAACTATCGCGACTGTAGGAGCTGGAGGGGATGTCGCTCGACGTTCTCACACATCTCGCAGTGACCGAAAACGGACACCAACATTCCTGAGCGGCTTGAAACGCTCGATACAGGCCAAACCGAGGACCTCGATAAACAAGCTTGCGCGTGCCCGTCACGTGAGCAAGAGCACCATCAGCAGAGCCGTGAGAGAGGACCTCGGGATGAAGTCGTTTACCAGAAAACGACGAAGCCTCCTGACCGAACCAGCAAGGGCGATACGAAGGGAGCGGGCACCGAAGGTCCTCAAGCTCCTCAAGCACCTCGGGAGTGACGTCATAGTATTTGTCGATGAGAAAAAGTTCATCGTAGAAGAGGTCGCCAACCGCCGGAACTCGCTGGCTATCGCCTACAGCCCTGATGAAGTGGCTCCCGTGATGAAAGGCAAAAATCCGGCATCAGTGATGGTGTTCGGGGCCGTCGCAAGTGATGGCCGCATAATGCCGCCCCATTTCATACCTGCTCGTGTGATGATCGACACTGACGCGTATTTGACCATCCTGAAGGAGTCTCTCATCCCCTGGATGATGAAATATTATGACCTGAGCAAAGTCATGCTGGTGCAAGACTCCGCCCCAGCACATGCTTCCCAGAGGGTGCAAGATTTCCTGAGCCAGAGGATCCCCCTATATGTACCCAAGGACATATGGCCCTCCAACTCGGCTAACTTGAATCCATGCGACTTCTGGATGTGGGGCGTGGTAGAACAAAAGTCCAACTCGACCACTCCTGCCAACGTTTCTGACCTGAAGAAGGCCATCAGGAAGGCAGTCAGCACCATTGACCAGGACGAGGCCCGGCGCGCGTGCTCCGCTTTCCGGCGCCGTCTCGAGAGGGTGCGGGACGCCGACGGCGGTCACATCGAGTGACAAGGCTGTGCGTACACGACACAATACACGTGCGAAGTTTCAACTTTATGTGTTTTCATTCACCGTATTAATAGCATGTTAAAATTAGGTCTGAAAATTCCCAATTTACCTGCAACACCCTGTATGTAGACCTTCTATCAGGTCTGTTGTACTCATCTTTCTCCAGTCGTTCCGCAGTCATCCAGATTCTTGATTTTCTCAGCGATTAAAAACAAAACAAAAGAAGATGGTTGCTTGATCATATTGATACTCAATTCGAAGTTCCAAAACAGCAATCAGCGAAATCAATCAAGTTCAGTTCTGGTTCAGAAGACACGATGATCGATGAAGGGTAGCGTAATTAAGAAACTGCAGAATGAAACAATCATGCCTGATAGGTGGAAATAGCGCGAAATGAAGCAAATTACATCTGCGAAACAGACAGCCAGCCAGCCCAAAATCCAAAGTTCCAGTTTTTGTTTTCATCACATTCGAAAAACCAGCTGATCAACAATGGAGCACGAGATTTGCGATTCCATTGTTGATCAGCTGTAGCTACTAGGGCTGCATTTTAAATACACTATAACCAAAAGCACAGCTAAATAAAATGACATTACAAAATCGAATAAGACAAACAATTCATTTAACAGATATGCCTTACGGAGCGCAGAAGTCAAATATGTTTACGATTTAAATAAGGAGGCGAGATGAGACGAACAGCTGATTGCTAAAACACAGCACAAAACAGGAAACAGAAGGAATCACGAAATACAGTACAAGAAGAAGCAAGATATGATCACGAAAAGGAAGACATACACGAAAGAATCACCGCAAGTAAAACTGACGAGCAAAGCAAGTCGCATATAACAATGAGAAACATAAACACGCTAAAACGCTGCCAAAGACAAAAACGAAGACGAAGGAAACCGATGAGGAAAACGAGAAAAGGCAAGAGGAAGCAAGAGGACCTAAAGAAGATGATACGAAGAAAGGAACCAAAAGATGACATGCCTACACCACACCTTCCTTAAAAAAAAACAATCACCGGGGTCAAACACCCGGGCAGAGGAAAAGAGAGCAAGAATAAGAGCAAGAAGACGATCGGATGACGATATTTCAATAGAACCGGGCCAAACACCCGTGTAAAGGAAAACAGAGCAAGAAGACGACCGGATGACGATATTTGAAATACGAAAGAAAGTAGGTGATCAAGAAGAAGACGTAGGTGACTTTACAATGGCGACAAAACTGTTCTAGCCATAAAACCTAAAAGGAACACCGAGGTTAGCGTAAAGCGAGCGCGTGGCGCGCTGCAGACACGGGCGGCCGACCCGGAGCAAACCTTACGGGGTGCCCTAATAAGCACTGGCACAGCAATAGCCACAGTCACGTGAGACGCAAGAGCAAAGTAAAGCCAAGGAGATACGTAAAGGCAAGGAAGGGCACGAGGAAAGGCAATGATATTCGAAAGATGTAAGCAGCATGAAGACGCTTGATGGGAAAGAAAACGGCCAAGATGACGACACAATGAAAACATCAAAGCACAATGACAGCAAAGAACACAAGTGACACGATGACGTCACGGCGATCAAGTAATTGGCACACTCGCGCAACGCATTAGCAGTAGCACCCACTCACTTTAACGTTCTCTCTCGTTCGCGATCACCTCACTAGCTCACCAGCACTGCCGCCCACGCACCCAGCCAACGGTGGCTGATAAGACTCCCGACACGGCGAGGGGTGCGCGGCTGAGACCAGTCCAAAGCCGCGCGCCACCAGTCCTTACCGTGCGGGAGG